AAGTTCTAATGTTGTTCTGTAATTAATATAACAGTTCGAGAACTGTTTTTGGGAAGTATGTCCTAGAACAGATTAAGAACATTTTTCATTAAAAGAGAAAAATGTTCTAGGACAGCTAATTGAGAGCCACAAGTGATCCTTAAATGAGACAAATTTTTGCAGGGGTTGTTTTCTGCATTTATATTCTGAGTTTGATATTAATGTGCAAGGCAAAAGTCTGTAGAGTTTTCATACTGTTTTAAATGTTTAACAGATTTTTGAAAATATTCAAGTCATTGTATTTGATTTTGTTGTTGTCATTCCCATATGTATTGCTTGAATTATTGATGTATTGTCTTGGTCTTTAACACCAACTGTTGCTCCTGCCAAGTATATGTGGAAACATCTGCTTGTTGACTAAAGTGGAATCCAGCCTTTGAAAAAATAAAGGACTAGAAGTCTATTGAATGCATTTTCTCTTAAATTGCGAGTATGCCTAACTAATACTGAGGAAAATTAACCGATTGTGAGCCATGAGCTCCCCTTCCATTGATTATTCTTCCATCTTCTTGTCCCTGAAGTTTGAAACTGAAAAGGCACCGTGTTTTTTAGTCTTACGACTAAAAGCAGCAGTGTTCTCACACGCAATATTAGTCCAGGCTAAGTTTTTGTGGAAAAATACGTGGAAGTGTGGTGGAACAGTTTTTGATTAACGGATTGCAGCAGTTGAGCAGCTCAGCTTGTCATCAAAGGCGAATGTCATCTCGGTAGCTATTTACTACCATTTTTATTATTCCAACTCAGCAACAGCATGTTTTTGTGAGAGTGAATTATTTTGCCTGAATTTATCACATACAGCGGCAACGATGATACCTGTGACGGACTTTCAAAGTAAGTTTTCAAACGGTGGATAATCAACAATGAAAAGTGATGTTATAGCTGGCTTATTTTGCAGAAAAACAATTATTATAACTACGGTCACGAACATATGAACACGTCGACTTGCTTACCACTACAGTGTGGCATTTTCAAACAGCATATTTAATAAGCATACAGAAATTGCAATGTTTTTTTAGCCAGTATGAATACATTAAATTATGTTTTAGTTACTCTTAGGATTTATCGCAGAATTATTTATAAGCAAAATATGATCATAAACATAAGTCGAACACTTTAAATAATGATAAATGCAAATTTTCGTTGCTTAACAAATGACGAAATGGACTGTTATAAAACTATTTTTAGATTGAGTTTTTAAAGCAGTTTTGTTTCAAATGCATATATTATATCTTAGATTGATTTATCTGCACATTTTTCTTATTAGCTAAATGTTTATATATAATGTAACTGTTTGTTTATATTATATAATGTGTTATTGTTCATGTAATAATATTAAAAGAAATTCATTTTGACAGTATTTTATGATAGGTAAATATACACACATGATATGTCCAGATAATATATTTTTCATTTTTAAAAAGTTGACTAATAGTTTATGAATTGGTTACTTGAAGCTTTGAACAGAGTGGTTTTCTTTATAGTAGGAGGGTACTGAGTATCTCTGCCCACAGAGATGTTCATATTGTTCTTGGCATTATGTAATTGGATGATGGGAAATAGTTTCATTATTTAGACTGAAATAGTTGTCACAAAAATATGAATTATTGACAAAGCTACTCATTGAAGAGAAAAAGGATAAAAATTCAAGACATCACATTTAAACATTACCAAAGTGTTTCACAACAATGTACATTTGTCATTATGCTTGAAGAGACTTTCATATTTTATATTGTCCCAGGCCAGTAACTAAATAACCAACCCAGTAATGTATGATCTTACATGCCTAAAGGGCTTGTAATATTGTATCTAAATGTCACATGACACTAAGCTTTTCAGCTTGATAAGGCCACAGAACTTGGCTGTGATACAAAGTATTTAGTTCATTGGCAATTTAATGCACATGATATGCTGCAGACAGGTTTTTGTGCAAAATAATTAAGGCATTGTTTGTTTTTAATATATAGTAACATGTCAGTTGTTTGTTGAATTTTAAAATCTGAAATTAATCAATGATTTCTCTTGAGATATATCCCCCAACAGTTTCTCTTGAGATGTATGGCCCAAATGCTCTGCATTCCTAACTCTGTTCATATAACTAAACAGCAAAGCTGACAAATATACAGACACCATACTGGAAATAAGGTAGCAAAGCTGACAAATGTTCAGACATTCAGATGAAAAAAAAAACACCAAATAATGTTTTGGCCAATTTTGATGCACTATTATATAATGCTTTAAAACAGCATAATCACTCTTATCCTCTTACATTATGCACTACAGGTAACATGGACATTGAAAAACTAGCAAGTTATTCTGTTTCATGGGCCATAAAAGCCACTGAAAATGCTAATGTGTGAAAAATAAGATATTCAAACAAACAAAAAAAGAAAAAAACAGAATAAATGTAAATGTAAACTGATCTTGCTGCTTTTTGAAAGCAACCTGCTTTGTTGCCAAACAAAGCTACACAGTAAAAATTAAGTAAAACAAAAATACCGTTTGGAAGTTATGGGGTGAATGTCACCAAATTGTCCATAAAAGCAGAATAATTACTGTAAATGTGAATGGATCATGTCAATTTTCAAAAGTAACCTGCTTCTTTACCAAACAAAGCTACTCAGTAAATTTAAAATAAAACTAAAATGTGGTTTGGCAGTTATGGGGCAAACATCACGTGTCGGACAGCGATGGCAATGTAATGGACAGACAGGCCAACCAGAATATCTGATGACTTAAATCAGCATCCATGTTTTATGATTATATTCCCATTTATTTCAGAGATTGGTGTTGGCCTGGCAGGATTTGGTGTTGCCTTCTTATTTCTTGGGGTGCTATTTTTCTTTGACAAAGGTCTTTTAGCTATAGGGAATGTGAGTATTGTCTTGACCTATGTACTTTTTACAGTTCAGCACAGATGGCTTACAATTTTAGAATTGAGAAAAATGAGAGATATCACATGGTAAATGTGTGTATTTGATTTTGCCTTTGATTGCTTAATTATCTTACTTGCATAAGAATGTAGCAATGCTGAAATCTTAGAAAGCTTTTTTGTTCTTTTTTCAGATTTTATTTATATCAGGCCTTGCATTTGTAATAGGACTAGAAAGAACAGTTAGATTTTTCTTTCAACGTCATAAACTCAAGGCTACAGGATTCTTTGTTGGTGGCATGGTTGTTGTCCTCCTTGGATGGCCCATTATTGGAATGTGTGTAGAAGTATATGGATTTGTTCTTTTATTTAGGTAAGTTGGAAATAAATGCATACTGTAAAACAACTGTATGGAAAGAAATATTTTCCAATCAATACACAATCACCTGAACAGAGCACCTTGTTAGGTGCAGTAATGGTTATTAAACTAAATGTTGTGTGAACTATTTGGGGGGGGTTAATTTGCTGAACACAAAGGACGACCTCCTTTTATGACACTGTGTGAAATGTTTTTCTTTTCAGTGGATTTTTCCCTGTAGCAGTAAATTTTCTACGAAGAGTTCCAGTTATTGGAACAATTCTCAATATGCCAGGAATTAGTGGTGTAAGTATATGCAGTAGATTATAGAACCATCTCTGTACTTTTTCCATAGAAGCCTTTGTGTAAACAGATAAAAGCTTTTATATTCACCTATCTTTACCCTAGACACATATCAGAATGCATTTATGCTGCACCTTTGCAACTAGCAGGTGTCCAGACAATGAAGCATAGTTATCAGATGGACATTATGCATGCAAGTTAGTCAGTTTAGGATTATGATTGCTATTTCTCATGCTATATATTACTTCATATAATGTATTAAGTGTGCAGACTAATTCTTAATGTCACTGTGTCCATTGTTGATCAGAGGACAGTGGGGTCAGTGTTTTTGCATTCAAAGTTGTATATTGCTGTTTTAAATATGCAAGAAGATTTTGATTTGCATATTTATAAGTAAGTATTGAGTTGACACATAATAAACTAAGACTATAGACTGAGTAAAAAGTCTGTTCTTTGTGAAGATACATTATTGCAGGACCTTAAAATGCAGCATTGGGGGGTTTACGCTGCTAGTTGTCTTACTTGTTACAGTATTTATCTTGGGTATCTAAAGGTTATATCTTTACATTCTGTCAGTGAGTAATGGTTATGTTTGAGAGATTGGCTATTTTGAAAGAAAATCTTCTAAATAAACCTCCCTGCATTGCCCTAACGAAAAAGTCCTATAGGATCCTATAGGACTTTTTCGTAAGGGTGGACATGGCCAATCAATTCTGGTTGGCACATATAGGCTTCTAAATGGAAGAGAACTTCTCAAAACATACTGCTACATATGGAACATAAGAGCCTGGATGTAAAGAGGGGCTTTAATTATTTAATAATAAACAATATTTAACAATTTGCTAACAAAATGTAATATGTTGTATTTTAGGCAATAGAGGTTTTTGCCCAAATCTATTATCTTTAAAACCAGGTATGTATGACTAATCATTTAAATCACAATTATTTCCTCCTTCTTTCAGCTTGCAGACAAATTAGGAGCATCAAATTCCATGGTATAGCATAGGACTTGCTGTCACATTTGATTCATCACCTTACTGCACACCATGGTATAGAACAGGAATTGGGATAAACCATGAATCTAAGATGTTATAAGAGGCAATGGTTACAGGATGCAATAGCCAACGGCTGTGATCTTTATATCAGCCATAGTTGTAACCGTATCTGCATCTACTTGTGTGTATGTTGCTGGCAAGAGGAATGAGAACTTGGATGTTATGATCAAGGAGAATTTTGAGTTCAAGTGAATGAAGATGAAACCTAATTAGGATTCTCCTAAAGGAAAGTTACTTTGGTAATTTTGTTGCTGTTTGTATGTTTGTTGGAAGGTAAAAAGGTTTCTGCCAAGGTATATCATAATCTATTATAACATATTGGTGTTTAGTTCACTTCATAAAAACCAGGCACTGAACTATTTGGTCACAAATATCAAAATTTTAGACTGCTTTGATTATGTAAAGGCATATTTTTGTCATCAAAATAAAGCAAGATTTGTTATAGATCAGCATATGTTCTTCATTAAGGAACATAAAAAACAAGCTTACTTTATTTCTAAAAATTAAAACATTGCAATATTTATTGTAGTTTTTCATATGAAGTTGCCCCTATGTCTTTAAAACAGAGGATAGTCTAAATTTTAACTAAAATATATTTAAGATAATTTTTTAAACTGTAACTGTGTTTTATTTACTTAATTGTAATTTATTTATTTTTTGGGGGGTGGGGGGGGGAGAGAGAGAGAGGTTTCACTTTAATACTTCCATGCATGTGTAATAGTAATGCAAGTATTTCAAGTAATTATTACCTATTATAAGTTGTCCTTTAATGTCATTTTGCACCCATCAATTTACTGCTATGCTGTTAGAGATATTTGCTATAACTGAGAATATAATTGTACATATTCAGAGTCAGTTTTATACATACATATTCACTTAGATTGTTTTTTGTCAGTCATTTTGCTTTGTTCACATATTACATAGTGTACACAGTTGTTTGATGATAGGTGAACTTAGCAGTTCTCATTGATAAGTGAAAAAAGTTAATAAAAATACCATATTATAATCATTAGTTTGGTTTAATTATAGGCCGCATTCACATCAGCCGTCTAACTAGTCCGTGGATCAAATATGGACAACCACTTAAATGCTTGTTGTATATTCCCACAGGGAATCTATTCAATGTCTATAAGTCACAAAGTGGATTTAACAACAAGCTTTTAAGTTGGTCGCCATATTTGATCCTTGGACTAGTAAGTCTGCTGATATGAATGCGGCCATATATTCAGCTGGTACAATAAAGGAATGGATGACTGAAGACTGGATATACAAGTTAAGCCTCCAGGCATAAGTGTGTATTAATAAATAGTTCTTTGTCAAACATCTTATCTCTAATCCAGTTTTAAGTTTAATTGGTCCAAATTTTAATCTGAGATATTTTCAGAACAGTGGAGATATAAAATATACATTTATTGATATCACTTTTCATAAATATAATTATATAATAACTAGAATATAAGCTGAAAAGGTATTCACATGCAACTACATTGCTCAACATTTCTACAATTTATTTTCCAAATAGCCATTTCCTGTTTTTTAACATGAAATATCTGACAGCTAAAAGATGAATGGAAGAAGGCAATGAAAAATTCTACTTTCATGCTTTCCCCAGAAATAATTATGTAATAGACAAACCACAAGTCAATGAGGTGTTGGTAATATATACGAGTGTAAAGCATGAGTGGGTTTCACATATGCCTCACTGACAAGTGGCATATATGATATATCACAGAACTCGAGAACCAGACATGGCATGCCCTCTGTGCTATATGTCAAATGTTGCCTTTTCTTCTTGATACTCTTCATGATATAAAATGAAATACAGGGTTTTAATAATTCTTATACCTGCAGTAAAAGGGATTTCCAAAAATAACACACATTACTATATCAGGTTCACTTCTCTATAAATGAGAGCACCAACCTGAAGTATAAAATAGTTAAATATTGTTTACATGATATTAATTATATTTAGCACTAAAATAACAATAACAGTCATCAAAACTGAATAGCTGGAAAGTATCTTTAATAAATTTGTATCAAAAAGCACAATGCATATTTTTCCTGAACGATAACAAACAACCACTTTATAAAGGTCCATAATTTGTAAATTTGAAATACATATAATAAAAGTAGAGTAAAGGTTTCATGACCTGACTTCCTAGCAACCCTTTCCCAGAAAGAAGAATGTCTACAAAATGTAAGTCTATTAATCCTGGAAAAGTAGGATATGATTAAGTTTTTAAAAATATGGCAAGTGTAATATAATATTTAAAGTTTTTCCATATATTGCACGTCACAGTGTAATGGATCATGCTCTTAGCACAACAGTGCCTAAATATCCATTATCAGTCCTTATGTGAAAGATGCCCACAAAATGTATGACCTTTTTGTAGAAATATTGTCCCCAAAATAGCAATGTGAAAATTAAACAAATTTATTATAAATTCATATAAGAGATATGATACTATCAAAAATACTGATCAAAAATGTTAAAATCAGGTTAAATAATTGTGACCAGAATACTATTTTTCACTCATTAGGAAAACTTATCAATATTTGTACTTGAGGAAAAAGGGAATGAAAAAAGACGTCTGAGACCAACTGTGCTGGTTATCATATATTACTTTCTTCATATTAATGAAAAATTGTCTTAAATTTTCTTTTTTTTTAAGTTAGCCTGCAATAATGTCACAAGACCATGTAACAATTTTTGTAAGTAATGCTTTCATTCTCCCTCTTTTGCACTTTTGTCTCAGATTAAAATGCAAGTAATGGATGTAACTCTTCACTCAGCTGTAGACAACTACAAAAAGATATCCTAAAACTCAAAGGGAATGCTTGAGTTTGAATAGAGCAAAGGTCAGTAACTATTAGAAAATGCTGATGACCCCATACATATTATAATAGATAATAAATAAATTTGCATTTTCTTTGTGCCAAAATTCTTTGTAGTGTCCCTTAATGAAGCCATCTAAGCCATCTAAGATACTAAAATAGAACTTGTACTGGAACATTATATGAAAACTTTCTTACGTATCATTATATTAAAATAACACTAACCAGTGCAATGTCTTCATCACTAGAATAGCACATACTTTGTATACCTCTTAGAAATTCTCAATTACAGCTGACAAACCTCTTCCCCTGTTGCATCCTCTGCATAACATGCACTACCTGGGACTGGCTTATATAAATACCATGCCAGGAACATCAGTAAGGAGGACACTGCTTTAAAGCTTGCCGATAAGGCAACAAAGTAGTAACTCATCCTTTCGTTGTCATACTGATGGCAGGAGGTCCTCTGGCCACACTCCTCACCCCACACAATACATGCACTGTCTAGTATGGCACCAAAGACAATTGGACCAGGAATCAAACCTGAATAAAGAAGAATATTTCTACAAATACAGCTCAGACAGAAAATTCCAGTAACATATATTTGGTGTAACAGACTTAACCACTTTAGCAACTACTATATACATTTCTTTCTTCTGTACTACATTAAAAACCACTGTTTTTGTAGCCCAAGATAAGCTACAAATTGACACACTAAAAGTTAGGTACAGTACCTAGCAACCTCACAGCCACCCATCCCACTCCTGTTGCCAGGGACTTGTCACATTCTTGGACACTTCTGCAATGAAGGATACAAAATATTAAACATGCTGCAAGGTAAATGATTAATCATCAAACAGTTAATTAGCACTCTAATTCATGAAATTTTTACTTACTTCTAAAACATATCCTAGACATTGTAAAAATATTCTTATTAAATATTTTCTATTTACTTTTATAAATTAAGTGGCTTGCAAAATGTGTGAGAATGTGTTAGGTGTGAAAATCATCACCTGAGAATAGCCTGTACCGTTGGAGTGCTGGCTAAGAAGGTGAAAGTGATTAGAAACAACAGCACCACTTGATACAATGGCATCAATGTACACGAGGTTGAACAGGGACCTTCCTTAGCCTTTGTCATGGAATTGTTCATCAGACCACTGCTGTGGAACTGTACACAACTGCAGTTGTTATAATACTGAAAAAAAATTATGATACATTAACAATGCATGGTCACTGCATAAGACAACATCTGATTTATACTTTATAGACAGTTGATACATTTCCTCATCTGTTTGACAAAAAAGCAATTATCTTAAGCCTGATGTGCTGAAGAAAGAGATTTCCACAAGTTCTTTATGAAAACATACAATGAAATTTCAGGGAAAATCCATAAAGCAAAACTTACATTGTCTGACTCCAATATGTTCTTAGTTAAGCATCCTGCGTAACAAGGTGAGAAATAAGTAACTCCATTATCTCCACACACTGGGTTGTAGAAATCTTGAAGACAACCACAGTGTATATTGCACTCCAATGTCATGTTTGAAGCACTTTCATGATAACCACTAAAACAAAAAGTGGGGTGATATACAATACACCTAAGTCATGTATATAATTCAGGCAAGATCACTATTTCCTCTGAACAAAATGTTATTTTAAAGCACACAGAGTTGATTTGTAAAGATGTGAAGTAAAAAGTCTGAATCGAGCAAAATCCTTCCTGATAAAAGAACTGTTCCATTTTATCTTGTCTAAAGTACACTTAATTTAGAAGATAATACCAGTATCATTCACCTACCCAGGCTGTAAGGCTCCTACTCCTGCAAAGGGCATGTTGTCACATCTAACAAATAATCCAAAACAGCAGAAGAAGGAGATGAGTAGCACTATGAAGCCAAACTTGATAATGTTTGCACATGAGAAGGACAATTTCCTTAACAGAAAACCACTCAACATGGCTGCTCCCCCTCCAGCTGGCACAACAACAACACCTGGAAAATATTTTTGGCCTTCAGGAAATATCTTTCTTTCCTGCTAAAATATGTGACAATAATTTTCTTTTTTAATTTTATTCTTAAAAATCTAATGTCTTCACTGATCACTTTAATTTTTTTTTTACAACACTGTTGGGCTGACATAAAATTATCAGTGATTGTATCTGCCTAATATCTTAAATCTGGAAATTGTTTTGGTTAGAAGCTATAATGAGCTTGGTGAGCAGATATGCTTAAAAAGTAACCCTTACCTGTTAATATTGATGCCTGACTTGCAGACATACTGAACTGGTTCTCCAAATATTTGGGCGCAAAGGCTATAAACCCTCCTACAAGAAATCCTTCCACTGCATCACATATCACTATACAAACAAAAGTTGCATTCTGAAAGAGACGCTTCATAGCAGCACCAAGATCCATGAGGTTAGAATCAAAGGCTGTGGAGTTGCTTTTTTTCTTTTCTTCTTTTATTTTTAGAGCACCTGAAATATAAGAAAAAAATTTGAATATATATATTTGGAACAGTTTGATCTACAGATTCATGTCTGTATTTTACTTCATTTAAAAATCTTTTAGTGACACTTCATAAATTTTCAATTTCACAAAAGAATAAATGAAAATTAAAGAATCATTAAGATCTGATATTATATATAATATTATATATAATAAATGAGCAATTTATAAAATAATAAATGAGCAATTAAAGAATCAATAAGATCTTATATTATATACCAGTAGTCAAGATCACAGAAAGAAAGTACCCCATAATATGAATTTTAATGTAATGTTTTGATATCCCCCCCCCCTCCCCCAAAAAAGTCCTAGGTAAGCTTCATATTTATTCATTCAAAAGTTTTAAGTTCATCAATACCATCTCTTACCACCAAACTTATTATTTTCAATTATTTTTTTTTAATTAAGACATATCAAAATTGTATAATGGTTATCAATCATAAATGTTTTTAGTAAATATTTTACATTTAAAAAATACCCTATGGCCTTGAAGTATAATATCAAAGAAATAAAGATCCAGAAAAAAAACAGGCTGTGCTTAATTAGTACCAGGTAACTCTGCAGCAAAACCCAGCAAAGGGAAAGCTATAATCCATGACATCACAGCAGTCCCTAGAAATCCCAGCCACCAGGCACCATACCAACTTGGGGAATCTGGAGATATGGTGACACTGAAATAAACAGCACAGCATTGAAATTTATTTTAAAATACCGCTAAAATTTAAAATGCCCTGTCAAATTGTACCCAAAATTAACCTTGGGTGTAGCTTTATATTTCACTCACTCACATATTGTACTCAATTTCTTCAACTTTACAGTAATAAACAAAGTCACTTTTAATGTTTATCCAAGATTTACTACATATAAACATACAGAAAAAAATCAAAGCTTCAAAACTTTTTAAAGTGGGTTTTATAAACACACACACAAAAAAAATTATAAATATATATATATTCTAGCCTGCTTTACCTGCTGATATCCACCTGCCCAATATCTCCATATAAATTGAGCAACACTCCGCCTAGCACATAGCCCAGAGCAGGCCCTATCACAGATATCCCATAGTATATACCTAAAGACAACATCATCCAATGACATAGCCATGCACTACTATTTTGGATATAAACAATACATACCATGGCTTACTTTTAAACTTGAAAATATCACCCTTACACTACTTTTAACCAGTATGATAAGTGTATATGAACTTCCTTTGCCTTTTTTATGCATCAAAGTCAAATTAATTTTTCTTTTTCAACAACTGATTAACTATAATTACAGCACCTACTGAACTCCTTTTCGCCCTCTAAAATATGAACAATTTACAAACTTAAAAAAATTCTAATGCTTGCCAGATTATAACTCTAAAATTTTCACACTTTGAATAACCATCTGTACCTGTATACAAAGGGGATTCTTTAGTGGACACATTCTCATCCAGATAGACAAAGGCCAAGGTGAACATGGGAGAGCACCCAAACCCCTGAACCATTTGTCCAAGGAAAAATACATAGAAATAATCAGACAGATGGGCATCTGGACTTTGACAAAAGTCTGTTTGATTGTTGTTTGAATCTAAAACATTGACAAAAAAATATATTAACATAACATTAACAGAAAAATAAATAAAATAATAATTTTGAAAAAATTCTACAAAGGCTGGGAATGAAACACAATCATGAAGGTTCTACAAAGGCAGCAATACAACATAATGTACAATTCAACATACATGGTGCATTTTTAGATTTAAATTTGAATTACCTAAAACACAAACATCTTCTCGTTCTTGTGCTGCATAGAGGCCTGTAGTAAACTGTGGAATTATAAAAATAACAGAACCAAATCCAAGCAATATTGTACCAACACCTGGAAAATAATAGTTAATCAGTGTTATAATGATGTCAAATGAACTCAAAATATAATTGAGTTTTATAACATTATGAGAAGGGTTAAGTCCTCATTACCACAGCATATACATAGTCAAAATGACAATATGGAAAGATAAACAAAGTTCCTTTGAAATAAAGCAATGTACAGTTGGGCTTAAAGCATTTTCTGCTTTATTTACTAAACTACATAAAAACACATTTTAACAAAATGCCACTTAAACAAGGGTATAAAATGATGCTTAAAAGATTGAGTATTAAATCAGCAGGTTACACTCTCAAAATTCCGAGGCTTACAAGATGGGGCAATACTTGTCTTCCTCTTTTTTTTGCCATACTTTTTATGTTTAATCAATCTATCTTAATACAAGCAAAAACAGACAATTCTGTCTGCAAAATTTACCTATCCATTTCCCTTTATGTCCTCTTCCTCCATAGTAGCTTACAAAGACCAGCACTAGCACAGTGGCTATATCATAGCCAGCATCTATCACTCCAGCCTGAGTACTAGACAGGTTGAATCTCTTCTCCAATGTTGTTATAGAAGAACTTACAAAACCATTCACCACCATGCCTAGATAAAATTAAGATATACTTTTTTAGCAATCAAACATGATAAGAATCAGTTTAAATCCTTTTTTCCTGATTAATGAAACATAAAACATTTTGATCCAACACATATCAAGTTTTAGGATTAGGCAAGTTCCAAGTGTTGTATGCTAACTTTATGACTGGGTTCCCATACCTAGATCAATCTAACAGGGTCAATCCATCTCCAAGGGGGTTCTTGCTAAATTGCTTTCAGCTTAAGCGACCTAGAAGTCTGGCAGGTCTACTGAAGCTGCCAAACAATATTTAATTAACCCCTAGCAGCTTCAGTAGGCACGACAGGCATCTAAACCACTTAAGTGAATTGCAATTTAGCAAGAATCCCCTTGGAGATAGATTGATCACAGTTAGTACAATAGTCTGGGAATGGTCCCTATGATATGCCTCATGTTTATCTACCGATGGGAATTGTGTTCATATGTCATTCCAAAATAGGCACATGTGTATTTCTATGTTTGTTCTGCAAAGTTTTTTTTTCAAAAACATAAATGAAGCTAGACACATGAAATGGGGCAGTAAAAATGGGTGGACCGCATAAGAATTGATTATTGTTATAATTTCAAAATATGCAGTCACTCAAAAATCTGGTTCCACACTGAAAAAAAATTGTTTATATTATACCATCTAATTCAAATTTGTGCATGCTTTGAACTTCAAACAATTTTTCTGTTGTTTCTTTTGTAAATAAGTTTCATTTTATTTAGAAGTTCAAGTATCAGTAAAATAGACATCTGAGAGGTATTAGGCAAAGTGCATACTTTGGCAAGACACATGTACCCACCAGTACAAGTAATAACATGACAACACATGCAACAAAATTATCTTAGTTCTCAATCATATTTAGTATTACACACTGCACTGTGTATTTATATAACATGTATGCATTGCTCTGTAATTTGTACCTTGTATGGTCACCATGAAACAAAGGCAAAATAAAAGACACTTGGCATTGTGGCATTTCTGCACACAGTCAGGTTCCAGTTTTCCCCACCCACACTGATCTTCTGGGTTCTCCTTACAGCCACACTCCAATGTATCTAGTACACCACAGTCTTTGCATACAGTGGGAAGGTTCTGAACTGTCTGGTCAGCCTGCTCCTGGGGCTGATCTGTGGGCTTTAGGTGAGCATCACCATGTCCATTACTAACACTAGGTCCATATGAGGCTTCTGCATTTTGTGTGCTATTGTGAACTTCAGCCATAGTGTTGGGCAAACAAATTTGTTATACCATAAAATCTTGACATAGGGCGTATGTCTCAGCCACTGCACCCGGCATCACGCAATCAGTCAAAGTGGACACATAGGTGAGTCACCTTGACCAGCAAGTTAACATCGTCAGTCACTTTCAATCTTAACGTGCATGAATCTGCAATGAAAGGACAAAAGCAATTAACTATATACCAACTCCCACTCAGGCAACTAGGTGATTCAGGTACAATAAAAGTGCTAAATGATGGCCTTTAAATAGCCTGGGCTTATTTGTAAAATTTGTACCAGGCCGTTTAATAATAATAATAATAATAATAATAATAATAATAATAATAATAATAATAATAATAATAATAATTTTAAAACGGGAAACATGCACAAAAACAGTTCACTTGTAGAATATTCTGTTCTACTGTACCTGTTATTACCTTTTTTTCACTTTAAAAACTTTAATCACACCCAAGTTCTGTCAGATAACAAGCCGACGATCCACAGGTGTTCATACGAAGGCTAACGCAAGGTAAAATGTCGTACATTTATTTTTCACTATTTTAATAAATATGTATTAAATAAACATTATTGCTTATAAGATATTTTTAATTAAATATGAACATATTTTTTAATATATTTTGATATAAAATCTGTCATGTAACCTCTAGTAACTTCGTTATATGAACACATACATAATGTCATCAACGAAAATTACTTCACGCTTTAGAGTTTTCACAAAGGCTCACGGGTAAATTCCAATATGGAAGATAAACTTCAACGCTTTACCGTAGTTACAGCAGAAAGACATTGCTTTCATGCCACATTTGTTAGGAAAGCGGTATGAAGCAAAGATTTATCCCCATGAAGATATATTCCAACATTTAGGTAAGCGGAAAACGAATATCGTGAGCATGTTATACTCACCCAAGCATTGGATCGAGAACGTCGAATTTTCACATCATTTTAAGTTTTGTCAATCACTACTACAAACAACTATATATCAGTATTCCACACATCAATAAACGTTATATTGAAAGAGGTCCGTGAAATACATGATATGTATAAATGTGCCTCGCTTGGAATTAATAATTGATGGTAGCAAACATACAAGTATTGTACAACAATGGATCTCTAGAGGACATTTCCCCGTTCTCATCAGTAAACTACCAGTACTACTGTACATGTAACATGGTTTCAGCTAGTGATGTACACGACTGAATCAGTGGTTGACTGGCACCCATATTTATCATTTGATAGTTCTATTGATATTGAATGTATCATAAAATTGCATGTTAATGTTATTGTTAAGTAATCAAAAGTTAATATATACTCAAATTTATAATTTTATGTCAATCACAATTTATCAGAAATTAATGCAAAATATAACTGGGTCACAATGACCTCAAACCCATATCAATGGAGCATCTTCAAATGCCCATCGGCAGTGGAAATTAGCAGACAAGTAGTTGTAGTGTACCATAGAAATATTAAAGTCGAAATTTCAGTGTTTCATAAATTGATGTGCAATACACATGATGAGTAAAATAAAATGTGTGACAGAAAAAAGATCAGAATCATTACACTCTCAAGAACTGATGCACAGATGAATCGATTTAGAATATGCAGCAGCAGGTAGTTGTTAATAGTTAATATAAGGATTATTTGAAATTTTTCAGCAGTATGAGCTCTGAAGAAGAAGAGGCCTTGATTGAGGCTGAAATACAAAAACAGCTAGATTTAATTGATGAATTTGAGGCAAATGAAACCATAGAAGATGGGGGTATTGAAGAGGATATTACCATTGCAGGAGATGAGGTTGAGCAGAAGAGAAGACCTGAGGTAAATTGTCTCACAGGATTGTTATCATTATTACATAATGGCATATATAATACAAGCTGAGAACAAACAAGTATTTATAAAATGAGACAGCCAGTCTTGGAACATGATTTAGAAAATATGCTTATTGCATACACACCAAAACAATAGCTAGTTATGTTACATACTAGTAAAAGTAATTTTTTCATAGTTTATCTTGCTAGAACCTTCAGAGGTCTTTAATGCGCTTTTATAGATACATGTATAAATTATACTAAGCCAAGTTACTAACATATTGAAATGACTCCCATTTTTCCAAAGATGTCAAAAAATTCATCTTGAAGTTCACAAAATGATTGAGCGCAAGCATTTTTTTAGTAAGCATGCAAGTATTTGGTGTTTGAATGACTGCTTTATTTTGCCAGTTGCTACGTGTACGTTTCATTGTAGTATTAGTATATCAGTCAAGCAAATGAAGTAGTCAAGAATTTTTTTTAATTACAATTCAGTAATTTCACTCTTCTTTAAACTATATACAGTCTTTGTATTCATATATACTGCAGCTTGAGGCACCTGAGTCACGGTTGGACTTCTTTACAATAACATCTGAAGTCGAAAAAGAACTGGAAGAATGTGACGAGATCCTGAAGGAAGCAGATGGTAAGCTACTGTACACATGTCATGTTAGGTGATACTGAAAAGTTAATTGATAAAATTACTTTATGTAATGAAAACAATGGCTAAAATTTAAATATGTCACAACCTTGTAATAAAAGTATTTAGCCAGTTCAAAAGGCAGTGGATTGCTTGATGAAATACTATTTTTTGGTGCTCAGTTCACATTTTACACATTGCATTTTATAGAAAAGAAGAGAGATGACTTTAGGGGCATTTCAGTTGTGTTGGCAGATCTTGCCAGTGAAGCAGGAGAAGATCCTGAAGCTTTCAGANTGATAATGGGACAGGACAGAAGAGGTAAAATTAAATGGATTTTTCATAAATTGAAGCCAAAAATGGGTTTAAAATGTCGTTATAGAAAGAACTTGGTTATTGGTGAATAAATCGTGAACATATTTTAGTGTTATCTTATACTTGTTAACAAAAATTGGAGCGTCAACTCAAGGGTTTTGTTTTAGAAAATTGGGATTACTTATGAATGTGATCACCTATTAGTCAAAATATTTTTATAATAATTTTTTTTCATCTCTGAACATAAATACCACAGCAGTAAAACAACATGCGTTACATATTATAATTTCAAGATTTGAACAAGGGCCCACTTTAAAATGTAATGGCCCACTTTTTTAAATGTTGGGGGCCCTTTGTCCCACATTGAAACATTCCTAGAATGAACACTGGTGTACCATAGAAATATTAAAGTCGAAATTTCAGTGTTTCGTAAATTGATGTGCAATACACATGATGAGTAAAATAAAATGTGTGACAGAAAAAAGATCAGAATCATTACACTCTCAAGAACTGATGCACAGATGAATCGATTTAGAATATGCAGCAGCAGGTAGTTCTTAATAGTTAATATAAGGATTATTTGAAATTTTTCAGCAGTATGAGCTCTGAAGAAGAAGAGGCCTTGATTGAGGCTGAAATACAAAAACAGCTAGATTTAATTGATGAATTTGAGGCAAATGAAACCATAGAAGATGGGGGTATTGAAGAGGATATTACCATTGCAGGAGATGAGGTTGAGCAGAAGAGAAGACCTGAGGTAAATTGTCTCACAGGATTGTTATCATTATTACATAATGGCATATATAATACAAGCTGAGAACAAACAAGTATTTATAAAATGAGACAGCCAGTCTTGGAACATGATTTAGAAAATATGCTTATTGCATACACACCAAAACAATAGCTAGTTATGTTACATACTAGTAAAAGTAATTTTTTCATAGTTTATCTTGCTAGAACCTTCAGAGGTCTTTAATGCGCTTTTATAGATACATGTATAAATTATACTAAGCCAAGTTACTAACATATTGAAATGACTCCCATTTTTCCAAAGATGTCAAAAAATTCATCTTGAAGTTCACAAAATGATTGAGCGCAAGCATTTTTTTAGTAAGCATGCAAGTATTTGGTGTTTGAATGACTGCTTTATTTTGCCAGTTGCTACGTGTACGTTTCATTGTAGTATTAGTATATCAGTCAAGCAAATGAAGTAGTCAAGAATTTTTTTAATTACAATTCAGTAATTTCACTCTTCTTTAAACTATATACAGTCTTTGTATTCATATATACTGCAGCTTGAGGCACCTGAGTCACGGTTGGACTTCTTTACAATAACATCTGAAGTCGAAAAAGAACTGGAAGAATGTGACGAGATCCTGAAGGAAGCAGATGGTAAGCTACTGTACACATGTCATGTTAGGTGATACTGAAAAGTTAATTGATAAAATTACTTTATGTAATGAAAACAATGGCTAAAATTTAAATATGTCACAACCTTGTAATAAAAGTATTTAGCCAGTTCAAAAGGCAGTGGATTGCTTGATGAAATACTATTTTTTGGTGCTCAGTTCACATTTTACACATTGCATTTTATAGAAAAGAAGAGAGATGACTTTAGGGGCATTTCAGTTGTGTTGGCAGATCTTGCCAGTGAAGCAGGAGAAGATCCTGAAGCTTTCAGACAAAAGGTACATCATTCTGAATAAGTAAATGACAGTCTTGTAGTGCTCTCTTGTTGTAGAGAAGGCCTTTCTCTGTTATATATCATATTATGTAATAGATCTCCTTTTTTGCTAACACACAAACTTTAAAGGCTTACCCCAAAAGATCTGTGTTAAGTGGACAGAATGCCCTTTTAAAACTTTTTTTTAACATTTAAGAGTTTTTTTATCCAATATTAGATGTTAAAAGAGATTGAAGAATATGAAGCACAAGAAGTCAATGGTGGTATGCAGCAACACTTTGAATTGAAACCAGGTGAGTAAGGTGCTAACCTGTCTTCTTTAGAAGCGTGACTTTTTAAGGGAGGTTGTTGCAATGTAATGACTTTTCTTATAATATATTCCATTAAATATGACTTATAATGGAACTTATGAAATTACATTTTTGTTGCTTGTTGGTTCAAATTCTATCCTTTTTCTCATCAAACAGAAGAAGCTGTTGTCTCCTTGATCTACGAAAGTGACATTTTAGAAAGTCAACTAAGGGAGCAAATCAGAGAATTTGAGGAAAAAAGGATTCAGCAAGAAGAAGAAAGGAAACAGGTAAGTGAATAAGTGAATAATATTTATTTATTTATTTATTTATTTATTTATTTATTTATTTATTTATTTATTTATTTATTTACTGTAAAAAGTCGTATATGGAAACAAGTTTTATGCATGAGGAAGACTACTTTTATAACCCTAGGTAAGCTGTCTATGCTACGAACACTAGTGTATGAAATAGATTGCATCTATTTACTAAAGATTTTGTTACAAAATTTGCAATAATGTTTATCAATTACCATGTTATAGTTTGGCTACTTATCTTTATAAAGATTGAGACAAAGATGAAACAAGAGGCTGACAGAAGAATGGCACAGTCAGATGCCCAAAGAAAACAGAAACTGGAAGAGATAAAAAAAGAAGAACAGCTTTTCCAAGAGAAAAATGTTGTAAGTTTTCATGCTGTATGGCATGTAGTGGGTTTCTACACATTGAATATCAGTGTCATGCTTTTATTGATTTAAGTTTTGAATTTGTCAAAAAAATGTAGATTTATGAAATATATTTATTCAATTTTGCAAACAAAGCTTGTTTTATCCTTAGGTTTGATCTCAGCTTAGTTTATCATACCAGGGAAGTGTTTCATAGTCTATGATATAATTCCCTGATCATACAAGGGAGTTACTATTCATGATATATTGTTTACTTGTATGCCATCAGGTAAAGTTTTAAAATCAGTCAGTTATTTTTTTATTTATTTAAATTTTTTAGGTTAAACAAGCCGAGGTGAATTCTACGGTACAAATGGAACAGAAGAAGTTTGAAGAATCTATGAAAAAGTTTGAAGTGAGTGTCACTAATATAATAGTAGAAAGAAAAAGAATGTGCATCAGTGTGTAGCAAGTAGTTGATTTAATTCAAAATGTAATAAAAATTCTGGTTTTTATACTTTAATAATTGCTTTGGTTTCACAACCGCTTTCTTTTCATATACAGGAAGAACTGCATGAATTAGAGGTGAAAACAAAGGAAGAACAGCAAGAGTTGGAACACACTCAGAGACTTCGTGCTGAAAGAATTGAACAACAGAGAAACAAGGCTGCAATAACACTACAGGCTCACTTCAAAGGCTACAGGTAAGTATTGTGTGTCAGGTGTTTTCTTTTGCTTCCCTTCAGAGGCTATAGGTGGGCCAGGTGTAGAAAGCCCCCCAAATTCTATTTACATGTCATGTCTTTTTACGAAGTCTGGTAATAAGTATCTGCTCTTGGATAGGATGTAAGTTCTCTTATTATGTTTCGGCATGATGCCATGTTTTAAATTGGCCATATTTTACATGACATGTTGACATGTTTTAAATTTAATGCACTTGCAGAGTTAAGAAAGAACATGCATCACATCTTCAGCATGTTAAAGAAGAACGTCTCAAAAAGAAAATGGAAGTAAGAATAAAAATAGTGGAAGAAGAAAGGAAACACAGAGAAGAGGTGAAAAAACAAGAGGAAAATGAAAAAATAAAGAAGCAACAAGAAGAAAAGGAATTGCTGGAAAAGAAACAAAGAGAAGAACAAGAAACAAAGAGAAAAATGATGGAATTAGAAATGAAGAAAAAGATGGAAGAAGAAAAACAAAAGCAAGAAGAGGAAAGCAAACAACAAGAAGAAAGAGAGAGAAAAAGAAAAGAAGAAGAAGAAGAAGCAGAGAGATTAAAGAAAGAAGAAGAGAGACAGAGACAAGAAGAAGAAAAAAAGAGGAAGGAAAAAGAGGAACAAGATAGGATGAGAAAGGAAGAAGAAGAAAGACTACAAAGGGAAGAAAAGCAAAGAAAAGAAGAAGAAATGAGGAGGAAGAAAGAAGAGGAAAAACAAAAACAACTGCAAGAAGAAATTAGAAAGAAAGAAGAAGCAAAACGCAAATTAGAGGAAGAAAATAAGCGACTAGAGGAAGAGAAAATAAAGAAACAGTTAGAAGAAGAGAGAAGAAAGGCTGAGGAGAAGAAGAAACTGGATGAAGAAGAACTTAAAAGAAAGAAAGAGGCTGAACAAAAGAAGCTTGAAGAGGATAGGAAGCCCAAATCTCCTGTGCTGTCCCTTCCTCCAGAGTTGGAAGAGCAGAGGCTGGCATGGATACAGAGTTCTATTCCTTGGAGGTAACTCACTTTCACATAAAACACACTTGATTTGAATGAAATCATTTTATACTAACTGAAATAAATTGTTACTGGTGAGTGTCTAATAGGATGTGATTTTTTTATTTCTTCTATATGTTTTTATCATCATATGATATTGAAAATGACAATGTTTAAAGTCCAAATTTTTTCATCATCCTTTTTTTTATAATTCCCTGTATTTAATCAACTCATTATAATATTCATTCTGTAAAAAATCTTAATTATGTTATGGTTGCATTATTAATTATTATGATTATATTGTATTTGTGTACTGTGATTGTTCAAATTATTTTGTTTTTAGTGTAGTAAAATAAGCATGTTTTGAGTTCTTCCATTGGGTGTCATTCCAGCAAAGTAGCTGGTGAGTTGAAGACTAAAAAAGTAGCAGCAGCCAAGAGAGCTCCAAGGAGGCCAGTTTCTGCCAAAAACCTATCACTTCTTGGTGAAGACATCATACTTAATGCAGCTAAAGTCAATGCACTGGCACAGGTATACACATATTTTGAGTAAAAAGGGTGACTGTTAATTAATCTTACATTGAAATACACACACACACACACACACACACACACATCCACCCACCCACCCACCCACACCCACACCCACCACCACCACCTCCTCCTCCTCCCGTGTTCATGCATAGATTTCATACAAATTTGTTTGATATAACCAACAATCCCCAACCCCTACCATTATTTGTTTAAGAGACCAAATACATTTTGAGGCAGCACCCAGCTATTATTTATACATTTTTGAAACATAACATGTTTTTGATAACATCACGAAAATCATTTTGATAATATTGTTAAAACAAACATTTACATAATGTTAGGGCTAAACATGGTCAAGATACCGCTATGATATACTTCATCAGTTAACACCAGTAATATTTTTATATTAATAATTATATACACAATTTATATAAACTCTGCACAAACAGTTTATTGTTGTTCATTTAAAATAGAAACATTTTAAAGACATCCCTATGATGCTTTAGAAAAAACGTTTTTTGAAAACCCAGAAATAATTATGTTAATACATGAATACATTTAATACATAATACATTTCAATACATTATGTGTTAGCTGGACAGTGATTTTATTGCTGTTTCACACTGATTTTTGAGTGTGTCTTTCTTAGGTGACTACAGTTGTCTTGAAGGATCTCCCAGGCAGTGTTCTCAACACTCTCTCACAGTGTCCCAAGCTCAAAGCTCTGTCCATGGTCAACTGCGGGCTGGTTGCCTTGGATGGACTGGAGGACTGCAAGGAGTTACAGTACATTGATTGCAAGGCATGTTTGTGAGACAGTACACATCTGAATAAATTGTAGTGTATTTTATTAGTTATGGACCCCAATATGAAGACCTGGAGTTTTTGTTGTGTGGTAAATCATAAATTGATTGTCTGCATTATAGATTAAATATTAGAAAGTTCCATTGTAGTGCTCTTCTAATAGGGGTTTTCAATATTTTCATTTTCCCTTTTATATTTTATTTTATATCAAGATGCTAGTTATGGAAATTGGTCAAAGACATAAAAGAGTCAGTTTTTATAAAAGCTAAGGCAAAGAAGGCCATTTTGTATCACCCTAATGTGAGTGCTCTGATCAATTTCAATTTCAATTTTCAATTTATTTCTGTACTGGTACATAGATTGTCATGACCTTGTACAATATGATATACAAATGACGATACAATACAGTTAGTGCATTACCATCTTTATATAATGAAGATAAGTACTAGTAAAATTACTCATAAAATATTCTATCTAAGCAATGAGATAAACCTTGGTGTGATTATAAATTTACCATAAACATACTATAAACATGTTACACAAAAAGAATATGTTTATAAAAAACTTAAAACCACCGTTACATAGCTGTTTACATGGCTGTTCAAAGCCAGTTTGATGACATTGATAATTACGATTGATGACAATTACATAAGACAGATAAGTAAATAAGTTACACAGATATAAATATTGTGCCATGTTCAGTCCCACTGCCGAGTCACTTCGCACAACAGTGGGACCATACACTGACATTTTAAGGGATATGCTAAGAGTTACCAAGCAGAGCAACCACTTCACTTCTTTTCTTGAATGATTTGATTATAAAGTTGGAGAGGGACACTAAAGTATCTTTGTTGGCACTGTTAAATACATGGCATAATTGACTGTCTGGTGACCTTGAATCAGCTTTTAGGAATGAGGTTTTACTGAAAAAGGTGACTCGGTCTGTTTTGTACATTGGGCATTGGAATATAAAATGGTATTCATCCTCAATTACCCCTTGTGTGCACAGGCGACAGATTCTGTCGCACCCTTCAGTTTTTGGCCTGGTGTGCCGCCCAGTTTCGATGTGGAGTTTATGGTCACTAAGACGTAGTTTAGCAAGGGTTGACAAGATGTCGTAATTTGTTATTTTATCAACATAAGTTGCCCTTTCACACTTTTGATTAAATATACGGAAGAGAGATAAATATTTGAGAGATCAATGTAGTATTTAGGTATGGCATGTTTTATACTTTTCAGCTGTAATATTTGTAAAGAAAAATATTCAAATTGGGCATCAGCATGTGAACTCATGGACATTTGGTCACCCAAATGAAATTTAAAAATAGATTGAGAAAACATACATGGGAAAGATTACTATGAAAAAGAAATAAAAGACACAAAGCATTATGGGGAAAGTTTTTAAAAAATCAAATAACTAAAACCATTTCGATGGAGCATTTCATGCCAATAACAATTCTATAACTTCTATTAAGATGCATGCAATGGATTATTTCATGCCAATGACAATTCTATAATTTCTATGAAGACACATTCTTACTTTTCACTTTTTCCAGAGTAACGAGTTGGAGATGGTAAACCTGAAGGACCTAAGTAATCTCCTTTACCTTGACATCTCCCACAATTCTCTTACCTCCATCCATGGGCTAGAGGGCTGCTCAGACCTACGCTACCTTAACATGTCCAACAACAAGATAACAAGAATAGGTAAGAAAAGCTCACAGTTACATTTTACTGGGATGCTTTTTATAGGAGGAAAGTTTTTATGCAATGTTCAAGCGTATTTATGTTGGTACACACTGTGCAGAATAAATAACTATACGCAAATATGTGAACAAAATGTTATTACTGTAGAAGAATAAAATGAAATACTAGTGTGTAGTGTAGGTGAATACCAGACAGATTTTTATTACCTCCGCCAAGGAGGTTATGTTTTCACCCCTGTTTGTCCGTTTGTCTGTTTGTCTGTCATCAACATAAGTCAAAAAGTTATGGACCAATTTTGATGAAATTTTCAGGATATGTCAGAAATGGGTTAACTTAGAAGTGATTAGTTTTGGTGGTGATCTGGATTAATAATCAATAATAATCAAAAATTACTGCCTTTGCAGAGGTCTGCGCTCTCGGAGTGCTTTTCTAGTTGTGATATATGAACAATTGTAAACATGCATGTGTAAACTTCAATGTGTCTAGTCATTATAGTATAGCATTTTTAGAGACAAGTTAACATATTTGACCATAGTAGAGCACAACAATTGTTTCAAACCCTACATTTTCCTTTCAAAAGTGTACAATTTCTTTTTTGACAATAAACAAATATAAATCTGGCTTCTTTCTAAAATGATAGTGTTTGATAACCCTAGGACTTTTGGTCCTTTCATTAATATATTGGGACTGTTAACAGATATGTTATAATTGTCTTTTTTTTTCAGGAGGCCTAGGTCACTTGAAGAGGTTGCACACATTATTGCTGTCCCATAACCAGCTGATATCAACCAGGGGCTTAAGTGAAGCTCCCACAATACAGTGTTTAGACTTATCCCATAATCATCTTCCAACTGTAGAAGACCATGAGAAACTCTGTCTTCTACAGTCTTTGAATTTGAAAGGAAATAACATTCTTGAGGTATTTATATTTAGCCAATTTTGAAATCTTGAATTTATTTTTGTGCACTGAGTATGTCAACATCATTATCATAGGTGTATGTTAACAGTAATTTGCCTTCTGTACAATTATTTAAAAGCACGCCTATGCATCACCTTTTCTTTACGAGCTTTCTTGGTTTTGCCATTTTTATTTTATAATCATTTCTTTATGAAATACTTTCAGGTCCCAAGTCTTAGTAACCATGTTCTTCTTTATTTGCTCATCTGCGAAGATAATAGCATATTCTCCATGAACAGTTTGTCCGAGTGCTGGCTGCCACTTCTGAGGACATTATCCTTACGGCAGAATAGGTTAGTGAAATAAAATTGCCATAAAATAATAACTATCATTTATGTCTTACCACATAATGTAATTGCTGTTTGTTTCTGTGAAGAAAAAAATAACTGTATATTTGAATTCAATTGCTTATGAGGCTCTTCTTATTTATAGCTTAGGTGCAATTGGTTCGCTGAACAGATGTGTTACTCTGACATTCTTTGATGCAAGTAACAATGAGATCTTGGGTAAGTTTACTACCAATCAGTCACATTTTGTAAGACAGTATGCTCAAACCACTTGAAATGATTATCACTTCATCCTGTAATCCATTAAAGGCTATTAATTGTTTCTCTGCTTATTCTAATATATTAGTGTTATGAACAGTTTCTAAACTTTTCCCTGTCTTGTTCCTAGAGCTTAACAGTTTTATTCCTGGCTTGGCAGAGTGCAATATGTTGACCGATCTTAAGATGGAAGGCAATCCTGTAACAGAGGAGACAGAAGTCAGGTATGTCGCAAAAGAAGGGTATTTACTGGAAAATTCATGGCATTTTTCTCTCATAATGGTTTGATATAGTTTTCCTCTGACAGTAAAATGTTACACTAAAATTTTATTTTCTGATATTGTATTTTCTTTCATGTCACTTTGTATAGACATTTTATATCATATAGTTTTGGTCATCCCAAAACATTATTTATATTTATATTATAAAATTATTATTATTATTTTTACATGGATCACATATACTGAAGTTTAAGATTCATTATTATTTGATGTCAAATGACAAACTCAACATGGATTGATTGATATCTGGTCAGTTAGGGCCATTTTATTGTGCCAAACCCATATGAGATTTTAAGTTTTTATTTTAACTAATTATCCATGTAATCAAAATGGTTATCCAGAATGATTTAAACTAGCTCTAATCTATATTATTGGTAATCAGTTACTTCTATGAACATTTTTATACACCTTCCCAGGTCTTCCCTACTGTCTTGTTTGCCTCGTCTACAATGTCTTGATGGTGCTACAGTCTGCAGCTCAATGAAGTGTCCACCTAGAACAGTGTTTGATATCATGTGTGAAGCTCAAGTGAAACGGTTCTCTTGTCTAGAGGATGGGTACCTGAAATCACTGCGGTAAGATGGGTAAATTGTCTGCTGTAATTATTGCATTATTGAACAACATTTCTATTTAATATTATTAATCATATTTGTTAATAGAACAGTATGTTTCACTTTTTCCCTCTAATGTTTTTGTATGATTTGCATTAAATGACAAAAATGTTTATATAAGGAAAGAAATTGTGTATGATTATGAAAAAAATAATTTACATGATTGTGTACTGTTTCAGGTCCTGTCATGCTAACTTTGACAAGCTAATCCAGACTCACAGAGAATATTTTGATGCTAGTCACCAACTTGCAGTTGATATTAGATACTGCCATGAATATGGTGAGGTTACTCTTCCATCTGAACCTGTATTGGCTCAGGCTGAGGATAAAACGCTTCATAATCACAACTCGACTTTCAACAATGCAGGAGAAATTTCTCCCAGAGACAATGCTACTATGCATAATGGGCCCAGTGCACCTCAGCCTGGCTATTCTGTGATACAGTCCAAGAAATCTAGTGACTTCAAGTCAAACTTAGTACCGTCCCCACCGACTTCTGCTAAAAAAACCAATGTGAGACCTTTCAGTGGAAAGAACAAATTTGAAGCAGCACTAAGTAAAGCCCAACAGGGTGCGAGTGGTGGAAATTCTGATCTTAAACCTGGGGTCTCGACTGATTTGCAAAATGTGACTCATAACCAGACATATGATCACACAGTTAAAGCCTCACCTCACTCAGTTGCTGAATTGACTACCACACAGGAGGCATGTTTGACCAAAAAAGATGACTATGCTCTAGCCAGTGGTGGAGGAAGCTTTAATAGAGATGAAGCTGTCTTTAAAAGGAAAAGGTTTGGATTTTTTGTTATTGTGAATAGTTCTCTTGGTACTTTTATTTGTATGTTATTGGTTTTGTGCTGAAAATAGCCTTTTGCTTCATGCTTATTGAAAGTAGAAATTAATACGTATAAAAGTATAATGGGCTAAGTTTATTATTATTTGAACAATACAAACTATTAAAATTTTTTTAAGTCATATTGTGAGTTAAAATTAGTAAAAAAGTAAGGTTTTAGAATGAATTTGTAAAATGCAGCTTGCAAGAGATAGCAGCCACCAAGGTCCAAAGCCTGTGGAGGGGATATGTAGTGAGAAGAGATATTGACAATCAAGTTCAGTTTTGGCTGGCTGCAACAAAGATCCAGGTGAATAGAATTACATTCCATACTTTCAACATAAACTGTAGACATAAATGTTTTAAGCATGCAGCTGTCGATTATTTTAAAGTTAGTTAAAAATATCATCACTTACAAAAATCTTTAATATGGTGATGATTTCTTTGTTTGTGCACATTAATTGTTCTAGGCATTATGGAGGGGTTATAGAACCAGAAAGCTACTGTCCAACGCCATCAACTATGCCAGGCAGGACGACTCTGATGAGGACTTTGCTGAAATTGACCTGTCTGCTTTCGACTATCAGGAGGTAATACTATTAATTTTACCTTCTGTACTGAGGATATTGGTTCATTGTCTTATACAGACCTTACACCTTCCTTCATTGTTCGGCTTATGAGTTTATTTGAACTTACAGTGCAACTTCCACTATAAAAGCTAGACCCCCCCATTGATAATAAGTCATATCACTCATCATTGCTACTATTACATTATAATATTTTTAAAACACCTTTACACATTTAATGCCTAGGGTTAAATGCAAAATACTCTTTAGAAGTTTTTAAAAATATATATATATTTCTTCCTAGATAAGTTAAACAACAGAGGTATGCACATGTATATCAGTTTTCTATCAATTATTGCAGGCTGATTTGGATGCACCTTGGAAGCCACCAGATACTCCACAATTACCTGGAAAGTAAGTTTGTCTTAAAATTTAAGGTGTCTTCTAGCTGTGAGATAATTCATTTGTAAACATTTAGTTATTATTTTTTTGTGTTTAATCTTGGTCATGTAGATAGTAGTATAGACATCGTAGAAAAACTATGATAGCTAAAACTCTCAAATTTTTAACATAGTTGCAATGTCATGTAAGAAATTAACATGCCAAATTCTAATGTAAATGATTGATTTTGAAATAGAACATTTCAAATTTGATGCAAACCATAAGGATAAGACCTTTAACATCTCAATGAAAATTGGATATATGTCATGATGATACTCAGTTGTTTTGGGGAAGCTGCTAAATGATTATCTAATGAGAAAGACTTTATAGCTTGATATGATAAAAAATAATCATATATTATAGTAGATTCAATAACCAGAATTGTAACTACATAATTAGCCAAATGAAATTGTGTATATCTGAACTTGAATTGACAGTATGAACAAAGACATTTTAAAACAAGTACGTAAATTCCGTGTTCAATACTTTGTATCAGATGCTTCATTTTATTGACAATGAAGAGTGTACACTTGTGCTTCTGGTTTTCGTTGATTTCTCAAAAGTGTCAATTTCTTGAAGGGTGAGTCTAAACCTTAACACAAATCATTTGCTTACCTATACCTATTATTTAAGTCCATCTTTTTCCAGCCATCCAGTACTTGGTAGACCATGGTCAGGTCTAGATCCCCACCCTCCACCCAGGCAGGCATGGAGGAGTGCTGACTCCCCTTCAGTGGCTGGGGAACCCCAGGGTAAACCACCACGTCCTCCCAGCTCCAGCCTCAGTGGTGCAGAGACACACAGAACAGGAATGTCCAAGATGTCCAAAAAAGATGAGCTCTCAGAAGAATGGTGAGTGGAAAAATGCACATCATGCTGTTTAGTAAACAAAGACTTCTTATGTTGTTTATGTTGTTGACTTTTTATGTACTTTTTTTAACTTCATCATTTGATATCATGACCTCTAAGGTCTTTTTTCTTTTTGGTACAAGATTATTTCAAAAGGAAATCATGTGCAGAGTAAGAGAATCATAACTGTACAATAGATTTCTTTAATACCACATATGAACTGTAACAACATGTTATCTGTAACAATGTATTGAATGCCATGTATTGCCTTTCACAACTGTGTAAGTTTTTCTAATTCCAGGGGCTTCCATGACAGTAGAACAGCTGAACTCATGCTGCAGAGAGCCAAGAAACTCAAGTACAATGCAGAGAAGAGAAAGAAGCTAAACAAGCTAGGTAAACAAGAGAGATTTAAAAGATTAATCTGAGTTTGTAACTGAACAATTTTGACGAAGAGATATCACCACATTCATAAGTATTCAATCGTCAGAAGGTGTTTATTTGAAAAAAACAAACAAACTAATAAACAAATAAACACCTCCTGACGATTGGGCATATCTTCTGGGTATGCCCGTGAAACTCAGAGTCGGGGTTGATACATGTCTCTTATTTTTTAAATTTATTTATTAATTTTAATTGTGTGTGTATGTATATATTATATGTATGTCAGTTTTTTTTATACACACTTAAACAGTGATAGAAAGTTGAATGATACTGATATGCTGAGTTTAAATATATTATGTATTATTTTGATGACATAAATATTCTATTGCATCATTGTTGCTAAAAAATAAAAATTTCCTGTGTGGCATTTTCATGTTGTTTCAGATCCTAAGCAACGTCTGGCACTATTCCGTAAGGGTGATCATCATGGAGTCAAGACCCCTGTGCAGAAACCTGTGAGACCCATGGTGCAGAGGAAGGAATATTTTCAAGGTCTGTGTGCAAGAATTTGTCTAAGTACTTGTTTACATGTTTCTATAATTTGTAAGCAGCTGTTGGCATTTTTTAATTGTGTAAGATCTGGATAGTTTTTTAAATATAAGTATAACATGTTTTCACTTCAGCAATGCATGAAGAGGCTGCAAGGAAGGAATATGAAAAGCAGGAGGAAAATGAAAGTAAAGTGCAGAGAACATTTGAGTGGTTACATACCCAAGTGGGTGAACATGATGTTTCAGATTCAAAAATATATAAAAGGTAAGGTTGTTGTGATATTGCTAGTCTATTTTAAAGCCCTTGGGTTATATTTCCATTTAATTTTTATTTCAGTAATGTTTTTTTTTATATTTCAGTTGGAAAATTTGGAAAATTTAATCTGATTAAAATACCAATTTTTGCAATCTTTATAACACACCATTTAAACCACAAAATTTGTATATTGAAAATGTACTTCTAGTTCATTTTTACATTCAACATCTTAGGCCTGTTCGTTTTGGCAGTGAAGGCAACCTTCCTCAACTGCATCAAGATGTCTTGTCTGGTGGCAGAGTTTCATTGGTGGTAGGTCATATTTGCTCACTACTTGTCCCCTTGAATGTTCTCATACATAGTATGCTAGTAGTAAAATCAGCTAAAAATTATATAAAAACTTGAGGACTGGTATGAATGTTGCTGTTGTGAGCACAGGCCTTGTTATTGTTTATGCACCCACCCACACTCACCCACACATATCATATAGTTAACTATTATGATACACATTGATAATATAGGCCAGCCCTGCATCTATGGAGCTACAGTCAGTCAGAAGTGCCAGTACAACTGGAGACAGGACAAAGAGCAGACGACACTCTGTGGAGGAGACAAGCCCAAGAGGTGAACTTTGTGTGTACTGACATCCAGGTTTATCTGAACTTTTGTTTAAAACCTGAATTCTCAGTAAAGGGGACAACTTTTTGATTGGGTTACTTAGATAGTCTGGCATATTTTAAGATACTTTTATCTACATTGCAGTATGTTTTATTTAAAATACATATAACTATTAAGAAATATTTGCCTACCTGCTTTAGTAGAGGCTATTTACAAAGAAAATAAGTAAAATTTAAGGAAATGTTAAGTATGTCCATGATGATTCTTTTACAGGTGGACTGGAGCTTCCAGCAATAAAGACTAGTTCAGCGCCAAGTATGAGAGTCAAAGAGAGAATTTCCTGGCGTAACCCAGAGGTGAACAAAAGCTCTGGCTGGGGAAGTGGGAAAAGAAGAATAATTAAGTGATGGTTAACTGATGTCCCACCCAACAAGGCTTTGTTCTACTGCCTAGTGGTGCAAGACTGCTCTTTCTGTTCCTCAGGGCGACTGTGCCCTTTACAGTACTGAACCTCATCCTGTCCATGCCATAACAGGACTCTGTGTCCTTCTTCAGCACTGAATCTGATTCTGTTTAGCAGCTACTAGTAGTGAAACATGTCATCATGATGGTTCTTTCTTTTTTCATAAATAAAAGACAGATGATTGAGGAAGGCCTAAAGAGACAAGTTCAGACAGTCTGAGTTAGCAATTGTGGCTGTATGTTCAACTGAAATAAATAAGAGCAAAATACCATTACTGATTGGAACCATGGGAAAAAAATTATCCAGACATTACATATCATGAGGATAACCTTGAATTGTTAATCTGTGTGAGCCTCAGTGATGAATGCCACTCTGATTCTCTGAAGAATATTCTGAGTGATAATTTTTGTGCAAATCGCCTTCTTGAAATTTACATCTTCATCTAATTATAAGGAATTCTTAATTTTTTATCCATGGAGTAAATCAAACCAGAAGAAATATTTTCAGTATGTTTGCATTGTTTTACAAAAAATGTTGATTTTATGTACAAGAAAACTGATTACATCTTAATACAAATTTAAAAACTTAACTCCTGAAATATTTTTATATTTCAGTTATTAATGGTATGAGTATGTTTTCAACAATTTTACGTTATTGATTTGGAATGATTGTTTTTACACTCCACATGTGTTGACATAATGTTTTCGAGCCAGATGTTATGTAATGATCAGCTATATTTAAAATTCAAGTGCTATTTCAATTGACTTATTCCTCTTATTCTGGCCCTGCCTTTCCTATCAGTACTGCCTATTGTGTATGTGTTAGCCTTTGCCCCTGCGGTCAATGTAAACAGAAGTGATGAAGGAAGACCACTCGGCACATATTTACAGTCCGTCAGTTTTCACCAGTGCATTCTGAACCTTTTTTAAATATGTTGTGATAGACTTGTCATATTTTACTGCTTAGAAGGTTTTTTCTTTGAATTATTAATTTATATATACAATAAATTTTAAAAAATAATAAGTGAAAATTTAATGTCATAGTATTTTACGATGTCTGTGGGCTACAACATTACATGGAAATACTTTTACATGGATAGAATGGTACATGTCACAGATAGTAAGGGGGTTATTATGATCATTTTGTTCCTTTCATAGCAATTCACGCTAAAGTCTTATAATAATTGAAGCAGAAGTACAGATTTGAAATTATGATAAAATTTGGCCATTATTTGTAACACATTTGTAACACTGAAATAACAATTAAAATTTATCTTGGGGTGGGTGCAACATATACAGTTAAACATCTTAATTGGTCATCTGTCTTATTGCCTCCCTACTGACTTCTCACAAGAACCTTTTGTTCAACATTTTGCACCTATTTTCAAACTGAACATGTGGGTTCATATCTCACAACTGATCTCATAAGTATCTAGAAGTATCTACAATGTTAACAATCTACATTGGCAGATCAATATATTTCTTGATTATCAAAATTTTAAGTCACGCTTTTATAGACAAAATGGGTATTTATCAGTTTAATTTTAAAAAAATTACAAGCATTCATACAGTATATTGAAGCGTGTAATAAGTTGGAAAAGCAATGAACACGGCAGCAAACCATCTTGATGCGTTCCTTAATTTTATCATAGCATAACTTCATTTTAACTGGTGATTGAACCCTACTTTTACATTGAAGATCCATATATGTAGGCAACAATTTCATTAACAGCTACAGGGTGGGGTTTACATTTCTCGAAGTAAGGGCCGAACGTAACCGTTAAAGCAAATTTACAGATTAGTTCCACTTGGATGGAGACACCTAGACGATAAACAGAGAGCGGAAAATTTAGACTCCAGGATCAATTTGGTTACCCTGACTCATAAATGCACCGATTACTCCCCATCTGGTATTAGAACCATGTCGGAGAAGAAGTTCGTGGCGGCGTTGTGCATTATTGCTGCGAGTCTTCAAGGTAAGCCTAATTGTTCAAAATTCATCCATAAATAAATCTGCTCTTTATTTTCGATTTTTTTTTTTTTTTTTTTTTTTGCATTATGATCAAATGAGCGTATTCAGGCAATTAAACCAGTTAGACTTTGAGCACTTCGTTTCTTTCCCATCGTTTGACATTTCTATACAATGATTTCTAAAATAACGAGAAAAAATCCTTTTGATGTAGGGATTTTACCGTATTTCTATTCAATTCCAAATCTATGTCAAGCATGGGTAAAAAGGAGACAATACCTACAGTCCCAGAAATTCTTTTTTCCTATTAATTACTGTTAGCATGGCAACGTGCTTTTTTCATTAACTAGCATTTGTCTGAGGTGGTATATAGTCCCCTTCTCTGTCAACGTCTCACGACTAGAAAGTTTCTGAAACATCTGAGGTAAATTATCCTCATGAAACTGTTAGGATGTATACAACTGTAAAATATACAGCCGAATCGGCGATGTTATTTAATTAATTGATTCGTTAATTTCATTTTTAAAACCTGGTGCGTTTTTATAGTTCTGGTAAATGATATATGAAAAGGATACAGGCCCTTCTGTATCTGAGTGCGACACAGTGTAGGGGACGCGGTAGCGCACCTTAGCATGTCCCACGTCATCTCCTTTTCATTCTAGTGTCGCACAGTGTAGAATGTTACAGTTGCTACTACCCTGCGGACAGAAATTGCGGAGACCCGTGGAGCTGGGCCAACACCATTACCAAACCACACACATCAGTATGTGACGGATGGTGTACGGTAAGTGTCCTTTCATCTTGCTTTACACAGGTCTTTTTGTTCAGACGAACAGCTAACAGATTTGGATACGCGTTTTACATCTCCAAAGGCCCTATAAATAAAAAGTCAGTAAATTTCGTTTCTGACATTTGCGCTGTCTGTTGCATCTTATGCCAACAAAAACTAACTATTCACTCGATAGAGAAAAACAATCAAATCGACCGGCTTAAGATTATTGACTATAATTTTTATTGTAGGTATTGTCAAAACGTTGAAGTGCATTTTTCAAAAATACAAGTTTAAAAGGGAAACAAAACCAAATTCATTAGATCCCTAACAAACGCTATATAAGCCCATGAACAAAACAAAATCCAGTTAGATATTGGTTTTAGTTGTAAAGTTGGCAGAAACGGTTTTTACCCCAGGCATTTGCTAAGAACGACAGTCGAGTTATTTGATCAATGAGGGAAGCTCTCTCATCAACTCTATTACAGAACTAATATTTTCTTTCTCATCATTGTGCATCTGCCACCAGCGAAAGCTCAATCAAAATCAACGCGAGCTCTGATATTGCATAAATAGACAATAATTAGATTAAATAATTTTGTGATTATTAGAATATCGTATTATGAAAGGTCTTAATATATTGATCATAAACGTAATACGTTAAAGTGCTTACTTACAGAAGTACGCGTGAGTGCAAACAAACTGCCGAAAATGTAGAGTTATTGATATTGAAAATCGCCCCTCTTCCCCCCCCCCCCCACCCCACCCCACATACATACACACATGCATGCAATGTTTATTCCATTAACAAACAATCTGAGACCAGGAATAGAGAGAATCATGCAAACATGCATATTCTGAAGGGCTTCTGAATGAATAACGTATCCAGACTTTCAGACTGTTGTATTTTTAGCAAAAAAATTTTTGCACAATGAGCTAAAGAATAGTCAATGATCTATATTCAGTTCAAATAAAAGCACATACACAATTAAATAATTTTTTATTAGCACTTGTATGGTATTTTTGTTTTAAATATTTGTTCCCAGTAAATTACCGATCTTTGTCGAGACATCACATTTGACAAATATGACAGATTTTCTTAAGATATTCCATGAAATTATATATATGGCAATGTTGTACTCATTTTCAGAAAGTCATCACTGGAGACACCATTGGCCGTGGATGTTCTCTCGTGTGTGCATCATCCACTTTGGGATCGAAGATGGAGTGCTGTAGCCATGACCTGTGCAATTCTGCCGGCATTGTTCAAACAAGGATTTTCCTCTTGTTGCCTGTTACAGCCATTGTGTTCATCGTCTTGAAACTACAGTTATGATGTTAGTAGCAGAGAAGACATCGTTCGTCTTTTTTTCTATGTAAATTTTAGCATTAACGGTTGCAATGAAGTTAAAATACAGTCATGACCTTTGTGAAAATTTTAATGAATAATTTCACTTTTGTTAGTTTCGTTTGTTCAATGTTAACCTGGTCACTGCAGCGGACGTAACAAGAAGTTTTGTGGTCACGTACGTACTGATAACAGCGATTAGTGTAAATTAAATTGAAATTATTTTGATAGAGACATAACAAGTGGTTTCTTCACATTTTTATGAATAAGATTAGTTCCAATAGGCCTACTCATATGTCTATAGCAGTCTTTCTTATAGGGTCACAGTAATGGTAAATGTGGATCCACCGAAACTTTTAATGTTTGAAAATGAACTGAACTGTCACTCGCATGAAACTAAATACCAAAATGGTTCTTTCGAAGCACATAATGGTAAAAAATTCATAATCTCTCAAAGATACCCTATCTTGAATTTTGCGCCAAATCTTACTTCCTCGAGAAAAAGTGATTTTCCCCTCTTCGTGAATCATGTATTGCTCGACCTATCCCTGCACTTACATTGGATGTTTTGTACCATTTTTAATTTAATTATTCACTTCTGAATGGCTCCAGAGTCATTTGGACTGCCTATTTTGCCTGACATTTCAGAAAAAGGTATCGACACGAGATGCTACTGTTTGAGGTGTTTCATCATCTGGGAAAGAAAAGTACTGGTAACTTTGCAGGGTACCGGTATTGAGGCATAAAAATTACTTTTGGACATTTTCGAATATTAATTAGTGGTAAGCCTCTGCTATCAGAGTTGAAATACGTCGTTCTGAAACATATATGTAGAAACTAACAAACACAACTATGTAATAAACCAATGAAACATTGTCGTTCAAGTGAAAACATATACCAATCATAAGACTAAATGTGTATGAATAAAATATTCTCAGCTAAATCAAGACAATTGAAACAATGAACAGAATTGAATTTTATGCCCAATACGCCTCATCGTCATGTCTTTTTTTCTGTCCGTTCGTCAACAGCCTAACTCAAAAGGTTACGAATGGATTTTGACGGAATTTTCAACATAGATAAGAAATGGGCTAACTTAAAAGTGTTTAGATTTTGGTGGTGATCCATAAATTAAATTAAGTACTGGATCATCAATAGTTAATTATCTGTCTTGGTTTAGGTCTGCACTCTCTGAGTGCTTTTCTAGTTATCAAATGTTGAACATTATGTATAAAATATTCAGACTTGCTGTGACGCAATTTCACAAAAGTAATAAATTGATAGAGATGGAATTTAGAATGTGTGTTAGCCCAAGGAGTTTTAACACTAAAACACGAAATCTCACGTTAAAGCTCCTTGGTTTGACTGGAATATTACCCAAGCATGCAAATATGGTAAACAGTACGTTGTCATGAGCACTTGTAGCATGCATATTGATTCAAGAAAATTGCACATCGATCACAGCAAGTGTTGCTTTAACTCATAAAAACAGTGACATCGAAATCCGACTATTGAGTTCTTCGTGACTGTTTCCAAAAAACAGCATTGTAAATATAATATTGCTTATTGTGAATATGATTAATTGGACATGTGTTTTTAAAGTACATACATTAAAATACAAGATGTTCTGGAGAAAACATTTAAAACAAACTGTAATGTTATTTGTCATTTTATTTAACTGAGCAGAAATCTCCCTCTCTCTCTCTCTGTGTGTGTGTGTGTGTGTGTGTGTGTGCCCACAATTTCTGATTTACCCCAGCACCATCCTCCAATTCAACTGTCCTCACTCATATGGAAAGCATCAACTTGCACTGTCACATTACTCGGATAGATTTAAAGCATGTCCGTTTCTCTCTCTCGCTCTTTCTCGCTCTCTCTCTCTCTGATTTTAATTGTGCCGACTATATATATAAAATTACTCCAATACATTATTTTTCAGTGCACATTTTAGTGTACGGTGTAGTGTGTTAGGGAGACAAAAGGTCGGGGCTCATCTACCGACTCAACGCACTTATTTTCGGTTTGGGAATTGCAGAAATGAACCCCTGGTATTTATTCAACTTATTTCTATTAATCTTTTCTGGTACATGTTTTCATTCTAAAATCTTTTTTCTGAAGGCAGTCACACACAAAAATACTCTAAAATGTAACGTAAATTTGTCTTCTGAATCTTGCACAGATCTCTCTCGGTCTTACGTCTAGACTAGTCAGGTCTGTGATTGTGACCAAATGATTCATTCATCTTTTTGACACTGAAAAAAAAACCCCAATAGTTAAAATAATAATAATAATAATAATAATGGGGAAAATACATTGGGTAGGCCTAAATGACCCCCAGGAAAATCGTATGCTGCTGTAGGGTAGACCGGGGCTAAACGCCCCCCTTAAGCAAGAAACGTCACAGTTTTCCCTGCTGAAGTTATAGACCGTTCAAAGTGGGTGTTAACTATGAAGGGCTGCCTAGACTACAAACTGATACTATCACTTTTGGAAACAAACAAAAGAAAAACCTTATAGGTGAAAAATAAGTGAATTATAAAATCGGCCTTTTTGCCCCATTGCTGGGGCAATACGCCTCGCGCCACGGGGCTAAACGCCCACCGTGGGCGTCTTGCCCCAAACTATAGGCGTTATGCCCCGCCTTTGTACAAAGCAAAATTAAATCGAATTATATTTCTACGGTGGACTAAATAAGCCTTTAAAAACAACAGATAATATTTGTCGGGGTATTGTTATAAATTGAGAAAAAAATCAAACGTATTCAAAATAATACAAAGTTTTATTTACTATGAAACAGTAGGGCCTATAACTCTCAAAACTAACAGTCCATTGTCTTTATAACGTTGAAGTATTCTTTGTATCCTTTAATCATTATTCCATTCGCTAATATGAGATAGAAAAAAGTAAAAAATTGGTTATAATTAACAGTTATTTTATCTTTAAACAGTATTACTCTCAAAACTAAAATAACTTTTGTATCTTTAACTAGTTTCACTCCGTTTCTCTCACTATTTCTCTACTCTGTAAAGACAGGAAAATGTCACACGTTGGTAGAACAAACTGCTAAGTTTATTATAAAACAATAAAACTATAGTGTCTGTAACTTTCAACCAGTCTTACTCCGTTTTTTTCACAATTCTGATTCCTGCTTCTTTACTCCAAAAAGACTGGAAAACGCTGGTAGAACAAACAGCCAAGTTTATCATCAAACAGTAATCTCTCTCTCTCAAAACTAACTTCTAACAATACTAACGTCTAACTATTCTCTGTAATACTATTATCTTAGTAAAAAATATCAATATTAATCAGAGTCATCTGATTCACAGTTTGGACAAATAAATGTAGGGAGTCCTTCAGTGCATTCCTCATGGGCCCAAAGAAGACAGGACTGACACTGAACCCAAACATCCCGCGGTCTTGTGCGACTATAAGGTTCGCAGCAGATGAGACACGGCCATTCCTCATCGTCGCTCGTTTCATCATCAGCTGTTTGCTTTCCTCTCCTTTTGATATTTCCGCTTTCCTTTCTTTTCTGCTGTTTTGTTTGCTTTTTAGAGGCGTTGTTCTTGGTTTTTTTCATTGCGAGAGCAGCCTTATACGGCGACGAGGTTAGCACTGCCGCAGTTTCTGTTTTTCGCGTTCTTGTCCGCTTTGTTTGCAGCTTTGGAAGAGGGGAAAGGTCGTTAATAATGTTTCTGATTCCTTGGTTGTTTTGTAGTGGAGGAAGGGTAGGTGTATCCGATACGGGAATGTCGCCTCCATCTGACTCCATGGGTTGCAGCGGACTGTGCTGAAGTACGCAGTCACAGTGGCCAACTAAGTCTACTCTACTCCGCCTCTAAGAAGAAAAAAAAACTTCTGCTGCCATGCTCGTTAAACATGTTGAATAATAATAATAATAAATAAATAAATAAAAGATAAAATGCGTCAACCGAGCCTGTTTCATGTTTACTTTCGAGTCACACCTACCACATTCTATTGACAAGTTCAAGCTAACCTAGTTTTCTTTCAGAGCCAAAAATGGAGCTGGTTCTTAGAAAACAATCACAGAGGCAGTATACGTAGTTACATTATATTGCAGGTTTGGTTCAAAACAAACAGATAAACTGCAGTTAAAAGGTGAGCTTAACAAATTCTGATCTCGTGCGAGATCAAGCTGTAGAAAACGTAGAAAATTAGTAAACGAAATGCTATAATGCCGAGTGTCATTTAGCGTTATGCTTATGATAGATACACTGAATGACGTGATCCACAGATCCTACGTACAGTCATGGTAGTTCGGGTAGTTTCTGTTTTGTAGCTGGCGGTGAGCGATGTAGCGGATGAAAAGAGGACTCTCAAGGTAAATGGAGCCGCTACAATTGGCGTAAGTTACAATTTGTTAAGTTGTAATATCATGATGATGTGATAATATCATAATAATGAGCGGATACTCAGCCCCGTGTTGCACGAAGTTTCATGCGTTAACACTCTTACCGGGGATCCTATTAACGTCTCCTCTGATATGTGTGTGCTAGATAAGCTTAAAAGCTAAACAACAATTTGTACACTTAAACTTGTCAAAGACCCAAACCACAGAAAGGGGCAACCACAGCTTTTCTTATTTTGGTGGATATTTTTTATAGTAGCAAGTGGTCAGTCAGGGGCGTCTCGATTGTCTGAAGGTTCATTAGTCAGAATTAAGGTTTATTGGTCCCAAAAAACGTAACATTTTCATCACTTTTTTAATCAAGGGTTCGTTGGTCTGAAGGTTCTATAGTGAACATTCGGATCAATAAACCTTGGGACTGTTGAACCTTCGGACTATTGCTACGCCCCGGTCAGTCACTTCATTTAAACCAAATTTCATGATCGTCAAGACTGAAGACATTATCTTATCAGAGTATATGAGCATAACATTGACCCTTGGTTAAGTGCAAACATGAAACTATATTGCACTGACATATTTCACTTCAGAGTTACCTTGTCAGCAATAATGTGCTAGATGATAAAGATTAAAAATGAAGCAGTATTTATTGTTTTTTAGTCTACAGTGTGCACATGATATGTTAAAAAAATTACCTAATTAAAGCAGAAAAAAAAAACAAAACAGTTTATAGATGTGAGAAAAGTTAAATATGGAAATAAGAGCAACCTCAGTTATTAACTTTCCATTCATGGCAATATAATAAATAAAATATCTTAGTATAAATATTG